CTGTAAAGTGCCTTGTACTGCATGTATCATGTGTCAGCGATGTCCAAAGGCTGCTAAAGCACTGGGGGAACCAAACCTTGGAAAGAAAATGAGGAAGAACAAAATGTTGTGTGTCTTCCTTCAATAGTCCTAGGAGAAACACTAGGAAAATTTCCAAGGAGTTTTTCGTCCTGCTCTATTTTATTGCTCATATTTATTCTCTCGCTCCAGGAAGGGTGTCCCAGGTGTTGTGACAGCTGGGGGACAGGCCTATGACTTATTAGAAGTGCTCTGTCACTTCACTAGCACATGAAGAGGATACACGTAAATGTGTGTGTGCAAATTGTAACAAAGATAAGAGCATGGACCATCCTCTTTGGTTGCACAGTGCCTAGTGGCACAAGGGTCCTGGTTCATTTCTGGGGTTTTGCATATTAGGTCTGTCACCAGAATAGACAATTAAAATGTGACAGAGCTCCTCTGATAGTACATGGACTATCAGGTGCAAACAATAAAATGTGAATACTGCTCTAAGCAGCTGTCACATCAGTGCTCATGTTCTCCACGTGGCCCGGTACTTAGTGAATAAGGAGAGGTTTGAGAGAAAGCAGGCATTATGCCGTGTCTCGCACAGAAAGAGGATTGAGCAGAAAGTTGTGCACAAAAATCTGATGTAGAAGAAAATGTGGGATCAGTAGGAAAGCAGTGCTGAGCCCCGATGAGACAAGGCTGAGGATGAAAGTAGGTCTACCTTTGCAGACTTGCTCTGAACAGATATGAACATGGTGCTGCTTCTGCCCTGGACTGGGTACTGCGTAGCTGTGATGAGCGTGGTGCTGGACTGGTAACACTGCTGGGAGGTGATGGCTATGGTGCAGGCGCAGTGCTCTGTTAACCACAACAGCAGAGCTAGCTCACAGGTGTCTGTGGACAACACGGCAGTACATCCAAAGAAATGTTCCCCTTGGGTGCATGTCTGAGCTCAGTTGAGACCTTTGTGGTTTGTGCTTTGCTTGCTGGAGGGTAAATGACACTGCATTGCGTTTACTACCTGTTGCCTTAAAAAAGATTTTACCTTGAGGATATTCCCGGTTGCACTTCTTTACTGCAATGTCATTCCAAAGGCCCTTCTCTGACTGAGTCAGTCTGTACTGGGCCATAACTGGGACTTTCTGAGGAGGAAAGATGGTTGCTTGCTTGCACAGAACAAGACCACCATCCCTCCACAGCTACAACACACTATTTACAGAGGTGCACCCTGGGTGTTATATTTTAGACCCAGCCCCTATCCTCCAGATGCTCAAAACCATATATATGTGAATAACAGACATTACTACGTTAATGGTGGTTGTTGCACATAACCTGCGTGTTTTGAGGAAGTGTTGCTGTGAATGTCTTCACATAAAATTTTGAGCACCATGCATGCTCTGTCCAGTTCATGGGGGAAGAGTAGATGCTGCTTTACATCAAAGGTCCCTAAAGGCAAAATAGGCATGAAGTGAGGGGTGGAAGATTGAACATCTCAACCAGCCCCTGCTGTGCATCAAGGTAAATAATAACTGCACCACAAGCAGAACCATTATTGAAAAGCCTTGTGTTCCCATCTGGTATATCATTCAGGTTTTCCTGAGTTGAAAGGGGCCACACGCTGCTGTGAAGGGACAGAAAGTGAGCGCTTGACATGAGCCTTGTCACTCTGTGGTGGGCTGCAGCAAGCCCTGAGGTTCCCTGTTGTAGAGTAGTGACATACATAGTACAAAATCTGACATTAATCAAATAATTAATTTGGAGGAGTAATGGACATAGATTTCTCTTCCAGCATTTCACTGTTAGATCTTCTCAGTCCAGAAACTGGGATACTTATTATTCAAGAGGACCTGCCACTGCATTTGGATTCAGCCCAATGAAGCATTTTTGTTGTAATGGGGAGAGCTAAGAGCTGAGCGGGAAGACCATGAAACGACTTCTAAGGCTAGTTCTAGTTCTGTTGCAGGAGCTGCCTGTGTAGACAGAATGTCTCTTTCATGTTTAATGCCATGGAAAGTGCTGTGTACAGCAACTTAATTAACTGAATGAGTAATACAAAAGTGATATAATCATACAAGGGTAATATAAAAATCTCTTGAGACATTCATGACAAGAATCCCATCTTTTTTGTCTCAGTTTATTTAAGAGTGCCCTAGGGGAATTTTTTTTCCAGGAGAAAAGCTGAGTTATGAATTTTCCTATTGTATCTAATTGTAAACAGAGATGCCCACAACAGAAAACTGAGCTACTGCAAGAGTGCCTTTATCTCTTAAAATTGGATACCCACCCATGAGGACGTGCGACCTTGCTGCCGGCTCATGTACTCAGTGGTTCTCTTGATTTTAGATCTGGTGCTCTCCTGAGATAATGGATAACTCTGTGGGGCTTACCAGTATAGAGATGGAATAAGATAAGTACTTGGTGACTGACCGAATGGGGAATAAAAACATAACCGCTTGAAGTTTGGTGGCTTTCTAAGATGGGGTCATGGCATTGGTGGATAAGGGAAGAGCAACTGACACTACCTGGACTTGTGCGAAGCCTTTGACACTGTCCTGCATGACATCCTTGTCTTTAACTGGAGATAAATGGATCTGAACAGATGGACCACTTGGTGGATAAGGAATTGGTTGGATGGTCACACTCAAAGAGTTGTGGTCAATGGCTTGACGTTCCATTCGAGACTGGTGACGAGTGATGTTCTGCAGGGGTCGGTATTGGGACCAGTGTTGTTTAACATCTTTGTTGGTGACATGGACAGTGGGATTGAGCGCACCCTCAGCAAGTTTGCTGATGACACCAAGCTGTGTGGTGTGGTGGACATGCTGGAGGGAAGGGATGCCATCCAGAGGGACCTGGACAGGCTTGAGAGGTGGGCCAATGCAAACCTCATGAAATTTAACAAGGCCAAGTGCAAGGTCCTGCATGTGGGTCGAGGCAATCCCAAGCACAAATACAGGCTGGGTGGAGAATGGATAGAGAGCACCTCTGAGGAGAAGGAGTTAGGGGTGTTGGTTGATGAGAAGCTGAACATGAGGTGTCAGTGCGCACTTGGAGCCCAGAAAGCCAACTGTGTCATGGGCTGCATGAAAAGTGTGACCAGCAGGTGGAAGGAGGTGATTCTCCCCCTCTACTCTGCTCTTGTGAGACCCCACCTGCAGTACTGCATCCAGCTCTGGTGTCCTCAGCACAGGAAAGACGTGGACCTGCTCTAACAAGTCCAGAGGAAGGCCATGAAGATAGTCAGAGGGCTGGAGCACCTCCCCTATGAGGACAGGCTGAGAGAGTTGGAGTTGTTCAGCCTGGAGGAGGAGCTGAGCAGGAGGTCTTGATGCTGAAGGAGGTAGTGTTGGGTTCAGGAAAGGTACCTATATGATGGTACATTTCTGACATCACTGCATGTGAAGTACTGCGGTCTTGGAAACAAAAATCCTCAAGGTGCCTCATTTGCACCAGGCACCCGGAGATGTTGAGATCTTGGGCTGATCAGGCTGGAAGGAGAGGCACGGAGCTGGGGCCAGGAGCTGCATTGTGTGTTCGAACCTATTCATGGATGAATGATTGTGTGATAGTCATCGTTCCACATCCTAAGCACTGTAATGGAGAGAGGGTGAACAGTTCCCCTTCCTCTCCTTTGAAAACACAGTTTCTGCCAAGGCAGATGATCCCCTTCTCCTCCTTCACTGTCCAGCCCCTACAGTCCTCCCTCCTGCCTTTCGTACAGGTGTGGGGATCCTCTGGGCTCACTCCCAGGCATTTGTTAGGTTATAAATTTGCTATAAAGCCTAACCACAGTGAACACATAGACCATCGAGAATCAGAGTGGCAATACCAGGTGGAGCAACCAGTAACCTCAGCGGTGCCAACAGAGCTACAGACCTGCTCCCTGTGATTATCACAAGAGAGCAATCAGCCCCAGGCCCCTGGTAAATACCACTAAAGAGTCAGTGGGGCCACACCCTCCCCAGAAGGCCCTTCAGAGGCGGGGGGGAGCACTGACAGGGGCGTGGGGCTCATAGGGACTGCAGGAGAAAAACGTTTGGGGACATTGTACAACTTCTTATGAGGTGTTTTAAGGGAGCTGTGGGAAAGTGCAAAACTTGTTTTGGGATGTTTAGGGGAAAGATCAGAGGTGGTTCTGTGGAGGGTACTGCTGTGAGGGGAAAGGATAAAAAGGGGCTGGCCCTGGGTAACATGTGGCTGGTCAGTGCGCTCGTCTGATAAAGCCCTGCACCCCATCACCACAGCCTATCCTGCAGTCTTACTAAATATTACCATGTTATGATGTAGATAATTATTTACACTATTACTGCTAATTACTCTTACGTTCTTTCTATCCACCTTCTGTGTGGGCACACCCTCTATTCTGAGCCCGTGTCAGAGACCAGCAGCACCTCCAAGGCAGAGCAGTGGGCAGGAGCACGAGAGGCCCGTGCCGGCAGAGGACCATGAACCCCCGAGGCTGGAGGGTGCCGGTGGCAGCACCTGGGGAAAGCGGGGCCTGAGGCCAGCTCTGGGGCAGAGCGAGTGTCTAATGCCAGCTACCAGAGAGACCCATTTTCCAGGTGTGGGTGCGTATTTCACCAGCAGACATTAATCCTGATCCACTGGAGAGGAACTGCACCTGCTGCCCACGCTGTTCACGTGTGTGCGAGCACCATGTGTGTGAGTCTACGTGGGTGTAGGCATGGTGTAAAGGCACTGCTCTCAGTGTTCTTCAGTGCTGGCTGTGCGTGTGTGTGTATGCACATGTGCACCTTCTGGTAACCTGTCATCAGCTTCACTGCAGGCTGGACCTGGGAGCAAGGAGCGCAGCAACCTCACATCCACTGGACGGGGCAGGAGGAAACCCCCCGGGTGCTGTAGCCACAAGATCTGGCTACCTTTTACAAAATGTGACAGAGAAAAATGTACACTGCTCCTTATGCAAGGACAGATTGAAGGTTTAATGGTGGATCACTATGTAGATGCTGGCATGGAGTGGGGTGTAGAGCTCATTCACAGCAGAAGGCTCTCACGTCATTGAGAGCTGTGTCATCCCGTATTCCCTGGGGTTCCTCCACCTTTGTCTGGAGCCCACAGATGGACCCCAAGGTGCATCTTTCGCTCCATGGGCCGAAGTGACCCCCTGAAAGTCCCCAGCCCTCCAGCTCTGTCCCATCCGAGCAGGCAAACCTCACGTTGTTGGCCGCCGTGTCGTCAAGCAGGTGCTGCTTCTTTTCCACACGCAGGGAGAAGGAAACCAGCTTGTTGCTGGGGCAGAACTGAACCTTGGTCCAGTTTCCCCACCTGCCAGAGAAGAAAACAACTTGCCAAGATGTGCTCAGCTGTTGCTGTGCTGCAGTCAAGACTGCAACTCTCCTGGGATCCTGGTAGTCCTGGGGCAGGGCACCTACACAGGGATGGTGTTTTCTGAGAGCACCTGTTTCACATTGCTTCCCCATCACCCCCTACGTGCCTGGCCACCATCAGCCCTGGGCTGCCCTATTGCTGCAGGACCCCTTGGGAATTTCAGCTGCTTGCTTTGTCCCTGTGACTTAATATCAATGTCCTTTTCAACGTAAGCGTTTGAGGAAAAGGAGAAAGCACAGGTTTAAGATCTGCATTTTTTCAACTCTCCTTCATCTTTCAAAGTACTGTTCCTTTCCCTGGGACCAGATCTCTGCCCTAAGGCCTTCACACTTTGGGGCCAGGGGGACCTCATCCACCTCCCAAAGTGGGGTGGGGAGCCACCTTCACAGGGGTGTGGGTGCCCACGAAGAAACCATCACGCTGGTTTTCCTTCATGCTCCTGAGAAGCTGCCACCCTGAAGGAGGACGAGAAAGCGAAGACTACTCACCTCCCCACGGTGGACTCGATGATTGTGCCGTCCGTGCAGAGCAGGCGGATGCCATTCAGAGCTGTGTCATCACCAAACAGCCAAAATCCCTGGTAGGGCTGCACCTTAGAAGAGGGGAAGAAAATGGGAGAGGTCAGCACCCTCCTTCATTTAAAAGAAGAGCTGAGGTGAGCCCTCATGATGAGGGGTGGTAGGAGGTTCTGGGGACAGAACCAGACACAGTAGTGCTGCTGGGCAGGGCTGTGAGGCAGCTCTGTGGCATTTCTCAGGGAGCCCTTTTTGCTGTTGTCCACCTCTCCTTTTTCTTCAAACTGGGGATCAGGGGCTCTGGACACAGGAACACGTGGTGGCTGCTGTCCCAGGTCATGCCCACCCTCTCTCCAGGTGCTGTGACACCCAGAGCTGGAGTGCTGGCAGGTGGGAGTTGTCCCAGCCCCTTGGGAACAGGCTCTGCAGTACCTACTCCAGGTCTTTTCTTACCCCACGGGCTCCTCTGCTAAGAAATTGCTCACTGGCAGAGAGCCTGGAGAGCTACTCTCCGCTAGAGATCTATTGCTGATAAGCCAGCAGGAGCGATGCAGATACAATGCAAACTGCCGTGATGGGACAGAGTCTTGTGGCCAGCCCTGCTGAGACCAGAACAAAATAATATTGTTTCACATCAGGGTTTTTTTTTCCCACCCCAAAGAAGAAGTGAAACCTTACCTTCAATTGGAATCCCTTAGTGTAGCCGCTGGGACAAAAGTGTTGGTGCCCCCAAGAGCCCCAGGGGCCTCCGTTGGGCACCGTGAGGATGGACTCGCATTCCCGAGCCCCCGCTCCCCGGAGGCAGCAGGAGCCCAGCAGGCACAGGACAGCAGCCGGGAGGAGCAGCTGCATTGCGGGGACCTGTTAGGCACCTCGCTGCATGGAGGCGATGGCATGGGGGAATTTATGAGCCAGGAGAATGGGTGGGAGTCCTCAGGGAATGTCAACAAACCCCACGGGGAGCTCTGGTTGTTGCTATGTACTGCTCCTGTTGACTGCCTGTCCCTTGGCAGTGGGGCCACCCTTGCCAGGCAGGAGGAGTGTCACTGGTGCATGCTGACTGGGGGGCTCGCGGGGCTGGGAGAACTTGTGGATGTGAGGGAAGGGAAAGGGGCAGAGCTGGGACCATTCCCTGAGGGGGTGCTGTGGTTTTGAGGAGGGTCCTGGGGCAGGGGACATACACAGGGATGGTGGCAATGCTGCGAGGAGGGTGCTGGAGAGAGCAAGGTGGTGGACTGGGAAGGGAAGAAACCTCTGAAGGGGCTGAGGCAAAATGGAGGTGGAGGGGTCTCAGGGTCCTTTGCCCTGTGGAAGTCTTCACTTGCTTCCTCTCCCTCGCTTTCCTTCTCTCCTTGCTGTCGCACTGAGGTTGAGGAAAGTGCCTGCACTGGAAGCCATGGCATTTTGCTCTGGAACATGCATTGAATGTAGGTGACAATGCAAAGGGTGGAAACACTCCTCATGGAGCAAGTGCTCCAGCTTCCCACCATCTCATGTGGCCTTTTCTGAACTCACTCCTGTTTATTCACATCTGTCTTGTACCAGGGACAAGGGAACAGGAGCAAAACTGTAGGCAGCCCCATCATCCTATGGACTCTATGTTCCTTGTGCAGACACAGCTCCAGCTGCTCAGATGTATCTTTAGGAGGTGTGAGTATACAGAGAGGGTGAGTTTCCAGCAGAAGCAGACCCCTAGTTCTGCTGTTGTTCCACTCTCAGACATGAGTTTCTGTGCATGCCTGCTTCCTCCAGAGGGAATAGCCAGAGATGTCTTACCTCTGCAGATAACAATGTTCATGGCTATCCTGTGAGTAGTTGCAGAGTAGGAGGATAAGCTGCTCACAGTCTCATTGAAGAGTCAGTGATGATGTTACCTGGGAGAGTGTCCTGTGAGCTCTATACCAGCCGTATATCCTACACTATAAACACAGACAATTCCAGGCTTTGGGTACTGAAGAATGGAATACACTGCTTTTCGAATAGCCACCTTGTGCAGGTGAAGGAGGAATTGCTGCTTTCAGTTGAAATCCTCTGATGCTCCCCCTTGGCTAAAGTTGTAAAGATTCTCAGTTATGGCACCCCATGGGAGACAATGAGGATGAAGATGTCTTTTTGTGTCTTTGTATCTCACAGGCATCAGGGAGTGAGCAGAAGAAGATAACAGGGCTATGTGGTCAGGGTTCTGGTCTTGAGAGTGGATAGCTCATGGATACCTTACCACCCCCGGAAAGACAGGACTTTCTGAGCTTGAGGTATTGACTGGATTTTCTCATAAGAGTGGCAGCACAACCACAGCAAGAGCCATGTGAATAAATGTTATGATTAACCCTCTTCATTAGCCATACTGGCTGAATGGTGAGGCAAAGTTATGGCTTTAGGGTGGAGCAGTGATGGAGACAGCTAGAACCGAAAAAGGATCTTAAGGAGAAGCAGTGAAGAGGAGTGAGATGAGGGAGGAGGCTCTGAACTGGCTGATGTCAAAAAGGTAGAGATGTTTTACAGTTTGCAGCCATACCCACGAGATGAATCTTGCTCCATTTGAGACTCTCTTATTGAGAGTGCCTGTTTTCTTTGTCTTCCACTTTCACACAACGTTTGTTCTTTCCTCTCTGTCGATCAGTCTGACCTCCAGCCCCAACACTCCTGCCACTGCAGGTAGGAGAAGGGGGATCCTGGCTGGGAAAAGACGCTGTCCAGCATCTTTGTTGATTTTTTTGTTGCTCCCTTTTGGCTGCAGGAAGCAGTGAAAACAATTCACACTAGTAATTAACTCTGCCTGTGGAAGAAAGCAGACACCGTTTGCGTTTCTACAACTTCAGAGTGGGGAACTAGAAAACAAACAAGGAACTAATCTCAGCTTTATGTTTCCCTTTCTTGTGTCTCATTAATTTTTAACCCATCCAGAGTGATGAACCTCCTTCTTGAGTAAGACACTTCCCCCCCCCCCCCCCCCTACTGGAAACCTTCCCGGCTCTAGGAGTAAGGCATGGACTGGAATGAAAATGCTGGGATCAGTGTCAGCAGTTGAATTTGTGCTGCTGGGGTGTGGGGCCAATGTGTATGTTTGGATAAATCTGCTCATACACTGAACTTCCCTGAGTATACAGTGATGTCTCCAAAATCCCTGCTAATGAACATTTTCTCATCTGCTGAAACTCTCTTCACTCTGCTTCTTTTTCTCTTCTGTTAACCTGCAGTCCTCCAGTCAGGCAGGGAAAGTGCCACCTTGCAAGTGCAGGATGGGTGATTTTTCCTTATGTTAGATTGGAAAGCTGGAGTTTGAACTTCTCAGTGAGTCTGGCAACTTCTTTGCTGTTTAGCTTTGGCAACTAGTTGTAGGGTCATGTTACATGATGTATCTTTTTTTCTTTTAATCAAATTATTGGAAGGCAGGATAGAATTAGACTCAGCAATCATAGAATCATAGAATCATAGAA